GACCAACTGGTCAAATTGGTCAAACTGGTCTGGTCAAGCTTGACCATTGACCGGTCTGTGCCAACTCTGATTATATAGTAGCAATTAAATTATATGTTTAGATTATATAGTGTTTATTAAATTATATTATTTAGATCATATAGTAGTGCTCAGATTATATAGTACTATTTAGATTATATAGAGATATCTAGATTATATAATGATATTCTGATTATATAGTGGTATCTAGATTATATAATCTAACCTAAGTGGGATACTACTTATAATATAATTATATTATAAGTGGTATCTCACTCTGTTATATAACTAATAAAAAATATTTTTTGTAAAGTTTTTATTCTAACTCAACTCTAATCTTAATTTTAACTATAACATTAATTCTAATTTAATTTTTATTTATATTGATTTTGCTACAGAATACACAATATGTACTTATGCACCAAATATATTTATTCTAAAACAAATTTTTTTTTAAAAAAACAAAAAAGTATTAAAAAAATAATAATACTAAGTTACACCAATAGTATTCAAATACTATATATATTTTTAATAGTTGTATTAGAAAACCTAAGCTATAATAAAAATATAGGTTTAAAATATATTTAATATTAGTTATTTAGTTAGTTTTAAGAATATAACAACTGTGGTATTAAACAACACTAGTATAAGTTAGTAAAGTTAAAAAATCTAAAAAATATAAAATTTATAAAAAAGAAAATACAGTCATACTTGGGTTATATCTTTACTGTGTTATATTCCAACCTAAGTTATATTTCTAATTTTTAGCAAAATAAATTTCTATATTAATTTTACTTATTTTATATCTTATTTTATAGTAATTTTTAGTTATATCTCTATTTCTAACAATAGCTATAGCTAAAAGTATATAAATAATATATAAGATATCCAAGATATATTCCTATAATATTGTTATATAAATAATACTATTGGTTGAATTAATTGCATAAAATAAATTATTATAATTAATAAATATTTTATAACTAATAACTTTAATTCAATAATCGGATTTGGATAATTTTATTGCCAAAATGATTATCTTAAAGAGATAATTTTAATAAGCCCAAAATAGTTAGATCTGATTATTAGATTCTGAGATTATTAAAGTTTTTTATTATTTTAAATATAATTTGTATACTAAACTTTGCTAAATTTTAATTATTTGGCATAGTAAACAACCTTAACAATCTTGGAATCTAGTGATCAGATTTGAACAATTTTGGGCTTATTAAAATCATCTTTGCAAGATGATTATTTTGATGATAAAATCATCTAAATCCAATTACTGGATCAAAAGTTATTGACTATAAATATATATTTAATTTTAAAAAATTAAAATTTAATTGGTCAATAGTCACGTGACCAAAGCATAATACTTAAATATATCTCTACCTTAGTTATATCTCCAAATATGCTCTGAAAAAAGAGTGATATAACCTAGATATAACTGTATATTAAACCAAATTAATAAAAACCAATATATACAGTATAAAATAGATAGCAAATATAATATAGGTTGTAAATACTATCTAATATTTATTAATAAACTATATAAAAATTAATAATAAAAAGTTTGATATGACAAGTTACATAATATATAAATAGTTTTAAAATAATTAGATAAATTAAGGTTTGTAAAGTTAAATTTAGAAGAATAGTAGTTTAATAATAAACTCTAATTATTATAAATATTCGCCAAAACTATAATAAAACTTTTTATAAAAGATTTATAATACTGTATAATTTATTACAAATTTTTAATAAAATTTTAATATAACATCAAAAATTAAATACTATAACATATATAATATTTATTTTTAAATATTTATTTAAATATTTTAATTTTTAAAAAAAAATAAATTATAAACAAATTTATATTAATTTTTCAAATTTATAATTTTTATTATTATATCTTTAATAATTTATTCATAATAATTAAAACTTTATTAGAAATAAAAAATTTTTTTAAAAAATTAAAAATATAAAGTTAAACAAAAACCTTTTTGATATATACTTTTAGTAATTAATAATTTAATTTTTATTATATATAGTAATTTTTAATACAGTATATGATTTTGTAAAATGCAAATGCACTCCTAGAAGGTTGTTTCTGGTTTTTAATTTGCTGATAAACCTGCACACTAATCGTAGTTTTCGAATGCTTTTAACAAGTTTGTCTATAAACTTATCTTTTATGTACGTATATATTTTATATACTTATTTTTGTGCGGTGAATATATACTAATCAAGTAACTTTTATGTTATCAATCACTATAAAATGGGAAGGAGCCCTTAATTGTCTAAGTTTATAACGTTTCCTTTTTGGTGTTAAAATATTAATATAAAAAAATTTAATAGAATTTATATAAATTTCAAACTATTAATATTGCCGTCGTAGCATAGTGGCATTGCGCCAGTCTTGTAAACTGGAGGTCGGTGGTTCAATTCCGCCCGACGGCACGTCATTCGATGTTTTTTTTTTTTATTTAATCTAATCTGTAAATTTGTGTTAGACTTTTTACCTTTTATTAGTTTCATTAACGTTAAACACGCAATGTACGTTATGTACGTACGCACGTACGTACTACAGTATCAATAATTTAGTTAATTTTCGTACGCCCGTCCAAATCTGTACTACCGTACCGTACTACTACTAACTGGGTTTACTAATTTCCCCACCACTTCTGATTGGTTCTACTAATTAGTCACATTAGATTATGGTACTCCGATGGTGAAGTGGTGGAAAATAAAATAGGGTGGGACTTTTTAATACGAGGCACACCAAATGTTCCTACATATGTATCAAAACTTTTAATAAATTTGTACGTACAACAGTTATAACAATATTATTGTTAAAAGTTTGCAATGTTATCTTTGTTTAACTGATAAAGATTAAATTCATTAAATTCGATGATTTGAACATCGATGCTAGAAGTCGTAGACAAAAGGAGAATTCTTTGTGTTCTAGTGTCCCTGTGAAAAATAGACCGGACTTAGAAGGCTTAGAAGTTACATATCATATTTTGAACAACTTTATAATATAAAAATTGATGATAAGAACATGGGAACTCTTTTTATCGAGATAAATTAAGTACTACAGTATAGTATTATTTTTAAGTAATTAATGTGTGAAAAAACTAACTTAATGTCTGAAGAAGTCAGTGCATGAAAAAATTCTCAAGGTTTTTATTTCTAAATGTAAATATAAATTCCGTGAGCATTGCGAAAGAATATTGTCAATTATATGAATAAGAAAAACTGCATTTATGTTATAGAAGAATGTTCAAATAATTAATTGACCATAACGTTTAAAGTTTAATTGTTCTTTATTGTATATGTGTATTCATTAAAGGGACAAACACTTGCGATTATTACTTGCTTATAGAATACGCTAATCAGGAGAATCTGACATGTTACTTAGAGAATAAAGAACTCCCATGGAATCGAAAATTGAAATCGCAATTCAATTAACTAGCTGGCTGAGTTTTTTTCATGATCAAAAGCTTTTATATTTTAATTTGGTAAACTATTGGTGTATTTTTACGTGTAGTTTCTATTAATATAAATAATAAGGATTTGGATCCTATCCCTATGAAACTCAACAGAACTGATTAAGCGAAATCAATTTGTTAATCAAATAATTTATTTATTATAACTTATAGGATCTAAAAACGTTTTTATATCCCGAAAATAACTAGTTTTGGGCGTATTGAAAGATTCAAATCAGATAATTTTGAAAAAATTCCATACATTGAGCCTCGGACATTGAAGGCATTAGAATTAAGAAGCCATATAGAAAACGGAAATAATTCTCAAGAATCTAATATTTATAGTTTAGGAGTTTTGCTATGATACATTTCTAGTGGTTATCAACCCTATAGGAATTTTTCATATGCCCAAATGATCTCACACATTATTAAAGGAGAAAGGGAGAAAGTTATTCAAGAGACTCCTATCATTTATTCCAAATTGTATCAGCGTTGTTGGCAAGATGATCCGGGTACGTATTTATATAATGATCCTTAACATCTAGAGATAGATGAGAATTATTATAATGATTTCAAATAAAACCGTTAACTTTAGACAAACGTCCAAATTGTAAAGTTTTGAGAATTCTTAAGAATGTTGATATGAAAAGTTTGATTCAAATTTATACAGGTTCGTTGTCTATAACTTTATGTGGACTAAGAGTTGTGTGTCAGAGAATAGGCAAGGCGGAAGAACAAGGAAAAAATGCCTCCTGTGAACATGAAAAGGCATGACAAAATGTCACAATTGGGA